ACTTGGTAGAACATCAATAACATCTTCAGAGAATAACTTCTGAGGGCTGAGTTACTCTATGACAGGATTTTTGAAGACAATGTAATTTGGCATTTCTCAATTTTCTTTGATTTTTGTGCAGAGAAAATGGAAGACTGTAATAAATATTTTCCACAAATGGTGTCTTAAATGGAAACACAGCTGGTAGCAGCCATATTCTGCCATTTATTTGGATGTTGGATTCCAGGTTTTCTGTGTGAAGCAAACATGCTGGCAGATTCATAGGTTTCACATTTTTCCAACACTTGTTTTTTTTTTTCAGTTAAATGATGAATTTAGTTTCTCAGTAGGCTCCTGGCCATGGGCAGTAATGCCGGGCTGCTGGCGTGTCTGTCCTCAGTGGACTCAAAGTTTTACATTAGCTGCTGTTGAAATTGATTAGAAATATTGCAGTTGTACTCCAGAAAGTTAACAAAGTGGGCATATCTAATTTAAGGCAAAACTATTAGATTGGTGGGGCTTACCGAGCAGTGAGGTAAACTGGAAAGAGCTTAGATTCAGGAATCAGACACTGAGTTCTGGTCTCAGCTCAATTTACTGGTACTGCCACTTTGGGCAAATTACATAATCTGGAACCTTATGGTCTATATCTGTATAATCAAGATAATAAACTGCCCTGAGTTATAATTACTAGTCAATGAAATTGTTAGGTGCTGTCAAGGTGATTCTGACTCACAGCAACCCCGTGTGACAGAGTAGAACTGCCCCATAGGGTTTTCTACACGGTGACCTTTACAGGAGCAGATCGTCAAGTCTTTCTCTCTCGGAGCCACTGGTTGAGTTTGAACTGTCAACCTTTTGATCAGTATCTGAGCACTTAACCATTGCAACAGCAGGGTTCCTTATCAATGAAATTATGGATGTGAAATTCTTTTGTGTTATAAAAAGAAGTTGTTGTTAGCTGCCATTGAGTCAGTTGCAATTCATAGTGACCCGGTATACAACAGAAATAAACATGCCCAGTTCTGCACCACCCTCACAATCATTGCTATGTTTGAGCCCAGTGTTGCAGCCACTTTGTCAATCCATCTCGTTGAGGGCCCCCTCTTTTTCACTGACCCCTCTACTTTACTAGGCATGATGTCCTTCTCCAGGGACTTGTCTCTCCTGATAACATGTCCAAAGTACAAGAGACAAAGTCTCACCATCCTCACTTCTAAGGAGCATTCTAGCTGTATCTCTTCCAAGGCAAATTTGTTCATTTTTCTGGCAGTCCATGGTATATTCAGTATTCTTTGCCAACGTCATAATTCAAAGGCATCAATTCTTCTTCAGTCTTCCTTATTCATTGTCCAGCTTTCACAATTATATATGGCAATTGAAGATACCATGGCTTGGGTCAGGCATGCTTTAGTCCTCAGAGTGACATCTTTGCTTTTCAACACTTTAAAGAGGTATTTTGCAGATTTGCCCAATGTAATGTGTCGTTTGATTTCTTGACTGCTGCTTCCATGAGTGTTGATTGTGGATCCATGTAAAATGAAATCCTTGACAACTTCAGTATTTTCTCTGTTTATCATGATGCTGCTTATTGGTCCAGTTGTGAGGATTTCTGTTTTCTTTATGTTGAGGTGTAATCCATAGTGAAGATGGTAGTCATTGATCTTCATCAGTAAGTGCTTCAGGTCCTCTTCACTTTCAGCAAGCAGAGTTGTGTCATCTGCATATCACAGTTTGTTAATGAGTCTTCCTTCAATCCTGATGCTGCATTCTTCTTCATATATAGTCCAGTTTCTCAGATTATATTTTCAGCATACAAATTGATTCAGTATGGCGAAAGGATACAACCCTGACGCGCACCTTTCCTGATTTTAAAGTATGCAGTATCCCCTTGTTCTGTTCCAACAACTGCCTCTTGGTCTATGTCCAGGTTCCGTATGAGCACAGTTAAGTGTTCTGGAATTCCCATTCTTTGCAATGTTATCAATAATTTGTTATGATACACACAGTCCAATGCCTTTTTATAGTCAGTAAAACACAGGTAGACATCTTTCAGGTAAACATCTTTATGGTATTCTCTGCTTTCAGCTAAGATCCATCTGACATCAGCAGTTATATCCCTCACTCCATGTCCTCTTCTGAATCAGCTTGAGTTTCTGGCAGTTCCCTGTCAATGTACTGCTGCAACCGTTTTTGAATTATCTTCAGCAATATTTTATTGTCGTGTGGTATTAATAATATTCAATAATTTCTGCTTTCTGTTGGATCACCTTTCTTTGGAATAGGCACAATATGGATCTCTTCCAGTCAGTTGTCCAGGTAGCTGTCTTCCAAATTTCTTGGCATAGACAAGTGAGCACCTCCAGCGTTGCATCCATTTGTGGAAATATCTCAGTTGGTATTCCATCAGTTCCTGAAGTCTTGTTTTTCACCAGTGCCTTCAGGGCATCTTGCACTTCTTTCTTCAGTACCATCAGTTGTTGATCATTTGCTATCTCCTGAAATGGATGAACGCTGACCAACTCTTTTTGATACAGTGACTCTGTGTATTCTTCCATCTTCTTTTGATGCTTCTTGTATTCAATATTTTGTTCATAAAATTCTTTAATATTGCAACTCAAGGCTTGAGTTTTTTCTTCAGTTCTTTCAGTTTGAGAAATGCCAAGTGTGTACTTCCCTTTTGGTTTTCTAACTCCAGGTCTTTGCATATGTCATTATAATACTTTACTTTGTCTTCTCGAGCCACCCTTTGAAATCTTCTGTTCAGCTCTTTTACTTCATTGTTTCTTCTTTTTGCTTTAGCTACTGTACATTCAAGAGCAAGTTTCAGAGTCTCTTCTGACATCCATTTTGGTCATTTCATTCTTTCCTGTCTTTTTAATGACCTTTTGCTTTCTTCATGTATGATGTCCTTGATGTCATCCCATAATTCATCTGGTCTTTGGTCATTAGTGTTCAGTGAATTTATTTTTGATATAGTCTCAAAATTCATGAAAGATATGCTGAAGGCCATGGTTTGGCTCTCATGGACTTGTTTTCATTTTCTTCAGCTTCAACTTGAACTTGCATAGGAGCAGTTGATGGTGTTCCGCAGTTGGCCCCTGGCCTTGTTCTGATTATATTGAGCTTCTCCATTGTGTCTCTCCAAAGATGTAGTAGATATGATTTCTCTGTATTCCATCCTGTGAAGTCCACATGTATAGTCACCATTTATGTTGTTGAGAAAAGGTATTTCCAATGAATAAGTCATTAGTCTTGCAAAATTCTATCATGCGATATCCAGTGTTGTTCCTGTCACCAAGGCCATATTTTCCAACTACTGATCCTCCTTCTTTGTTGCCAACCTTCTTTTTTTTATGTTGAGATTCAGTTTTATTTATGCTACCAGCTAGATAAAAAGCACACATATTGTGTCTGTGGTACAGTCATATGCAACTTTTCTACTTAAATTCTCTATACAAAGTCACTGCTAATTGATATGGTCATTGATGGCACAGGGCTTAGAATAATCAAGAGGTATAAAAAAGTTTGCAGTCTTGCCTCAAGATAGAAACACTGAATTTTAAACAATGTCATAACATACATGATTGAAACAGTATATGAAAAAAATCACACATCAAGTACAAAAATATCCTAAGTACCTTTTATGAACTGCAATGTTTCCATTATTCTGCACAGTTTAATAGAGAATTTATCAGTTTCCAAAATATTCATTATTTAGTTTAAGCACTGCCACCTTTCCAGAACAGTGAGAGAATACGTGGAGTGACGCTGCTTTTAGTGTTTTTAAAAATACAAAACCTTTCCCTATGAATTAATGAAGGAAAGAATTCCTCTTCTAGGGTTCTTAGTAACTAACTTCAGGCTTAGAAAAACAGAAGAATATATCAACTGTGTAACAGGGCAAAAGTATTCTTCTTGATAAACGGTTACCAAATAGGGATAACACATGTAATTTTAAATGACGTTTCTTTGGTAACTTTAAGGAATTCTCAGTATACACACAGGTTAGTGTTTTGTCTTGGCAAAAATAAAACTGAAGTTGCAAGACAACCTAAGTTGAAATCATCTTCTCTAGTTTAACTTGCAAAAATAATACGTATTTTAGATAAAAGGTTATAATACATTGCTATCTTATTTTTTAAAACACAGAATAAGGTTGCTTTTGGTAAATTTAACTCACCCATATGGCACAATATTTTAGAGTAAAGTATGTTTTTTGAGTAAAGTATGTTCAACAATAACAACTTGCACACAGATTAATATAGGTTAATTAACTTTGAGAACTTCTCTGCCTTTAAAATCAGCAATATTGAATTATTTTGTAGAATAACAGACACATCTATGATCTGCATATAAAAGGCTCTAAGACATCGTAAAGGGCTAAAATTTCCAGCACTGGAATGATTCCTTCATACGTAACTGGTGAAGATTTGGTAAGAATGTGTTTTCCTAATCTTCAAGCTCTGAGCCACATCGGAAAAGTTCCAAATAGAAAAAATCCAGTTTCTGTCTGGTAGGAGCAAGGCAGCAAACACAGTTTTTCAACCCTTTATGAAAAGACAAACAGAACAAAAGTGAAATATATCTTTAGATTATAAACAGGATTGTATTTTATAGTCCACCATCCTGATAATGTTAAGGGCCCCAAGAGTAAAGACCATAGTCTAAAAGTTGTGGTCTGCAGTAGGCATGGTGTGAAGGACTTCACTAGGAGCTGTAGGGCCCAGTGTAGGTGGATCTCAGTCCAGCACGGCGTTTCCTTGATGTTCTGCCTTGAGTAATACGGTCCCCAGCCTTTCACAAAACTAATCCTGAGTATGCACAGGTGATGAAGGTCATCCACACCAATTCCGGCAGCAGCTGATAAACTGATAGCTGGAGCTATTCCACATACTGATCCCGGGCTAGGGATGTTTCCCGCCACTGCTGTTGCCTGGGCAGCGGCTACGGCATCTGACGATGACACTGATGCAAATCAAAGACCTTTATATATGCACTTGGGTAGATCTCATGAACAGAAAAATATGGAATGCTTCTCGGATTTGTGTGTCATCCTTGCACAGGGGCCATGCTAATCTTCTCTGTGCTGTTCCCGTGTTAGTATACGCGCTGCTGAAGCAAGCACTTTGTTTTCAGCTTTCACATTCCAATCATCAGTAATTATCAATGCATCTCGATGGCCTGTTTGATCAATTTCAGACTACAGAAGTTGGTAAAAATTCAATTTCTTCATCTTTGGCCTTAGTGGTTGGTGCATAAATTTGAATAATCATATTAAATTGTATTCCTTTTAGGCATATGGATATTATTCTATCACTGACAGCATTGTGCTTTAGGATAGATCTTGAAATGTTCTTTTTGACAATGAATGTGATGCCATTCCTCTTCAATCTGTCACTTCCAGCATAGTAGACTATATGACTGTCCAATTCAAAATGGCCAATACCAGTCCATTTCAGCTCACTAATGCCTAGGATATCTTCCAGTTTTCCATTTCATTTTTGGTAACTTCTAATTTCCCTAGATTCATACTACATACATTCCATGTTCTGATTATTAATGGATGTTTGCAGCTGTTTCTTCTCATTTTGAGTCAGGCCCCCTGAGCAAAAGAAGGTCTCAAAAACTTGACTCCATTCATGTCATTAAGGTTGACTCTACTTTGAGGAGGCAGGTCTTCCCCAGTAGTATTTTGAGTGTCTTCCAACCTGAGGGACTCATCTTCCAGCACTATTATCAGACAGTCTTTCGCTGCGATTCATATGGTTTTCACTGGCCAATATTTTAGAAGTGCACTGTCAGGCCCTTCTTCCTAGTCTGTCTTAGTCTAGAAGCTCTGCTGAAACCTGTCCACCATGGGTGACCCTGCTGGTATTTGAAATACCAGTGGCATAGCTTCCAGCATCACAAGCCACCACACACCAATCTGACAGAGGAGTGGTGGAAAACAGCAGTTGGTATGATGCTATTGTCTTTGTTGTCTTGTTACCTTGCCCAGCTTTTTGTACCTTCTTTCCCTTAATGCTCTGTTGCCATCATCGCCACCCCACCAATCCCAACTTAATGCTTATTGTTTTTAATTAACCATGAAGATAAGGCTTTAGGTAATAGATTCAGTGTCTAATACCTCTTAGAATTAAAAATTAAAAAAGCAAAAATCCCTACAAATTTAAATACATATAACAGTATTTATATGTATCCTAAAAGGCTCTATAGAAATATTGAGGGGGCACAAAGGGAATCCCCAGGTGAGGAAACACCAATCCAGGTGGTGTAGGGATAGAGTAGTGAATATAAAATACTTGTTAAGTTAGCCTTTTGACTGCCTAGGAGGGAGCATGCAAAAGGAACATTAAAAAATCGTGTGTGCAGGTAGAACCCTCCCTGTGAGTAACAGAAGCTTACAGTCTGTTGAATGAAGGGACTTAGAGCACCTGTGAGATTGTAACATAATACCTGGATAAAGTGGAAATTACTTTATTGGAGGATTAAAAGATGCTCCTTTATTTTCTGGCTGTCTCCATTGTGGCCACCACAATATCTCCTGTCCCCACATGTTCTGAGTAATATCACTGCCATCTTCCCATCAAGAGGTGGAGTCTCATGTCCCTCCCCTTGAATCTGGGTTACCCCTAGTGACTCATTCACCAATAGAATGTGGCAGAAGTGAAGCATTGTGACTTGCAAGACTAGGGCAGATGAACCCTTGCAGCCTCTGTCTTGGCCTCTTGAAACATTCGGTCTCCAGATGCTCATTCTTGGGACATTACCTCTCAGAACCCAGCTGCCATGTTTAAGAAGCCAAAACTACATGGAGAGGCAACATAAGTATTCTGGTTGACAGTCCCTGCTTGAGCCCATTCTTCAGGCATCCCAACCTGGGTGTCAGACATATGAGTGAAGAAGCCGTCTTGGAAGTAGGTCCTCCAGGTTCCAGCTGTTTTGAGCCACCTCTAGCCATTCAGGTCATCCCAGATGAGGTCCTAGATATTGTAGAGCAGAGCAGAGATGTCCCTTCTGCATTATTTTCGAATTCCTGGCCCATAAAATATATGAGCCTAAGAAAATGCTTATTTTATACCACTACATTTGAGTGGTTTGTTACCCAGCAGGAGATACCTGGAACAACCATTTGCCATCCACAGATGCTTAGATAGTCTCCCTGAATTTCCTCCACACTGACTTTGCTAGGGTACAGTCAAAATCTGGGAACAAGTGGGAGATGCAGTAATTGAACAAGCCCAGAGCTAACGAGAACTAGGACTTGCTGCTTCTGGTCTTGATTACTGTAGAAAGATGTGAAATCAGCTCGTGTGAATCCTCCAATTCTTTTTCAAAATTATTTCAGTTATTCTAGGTCATTTGCATTTCCATATAAATGAGCTTATTTATGTCTGCCCCTGCCCCCGCCCCCCCCAAAAAAAAAAAAAAAAAAACTTGTTGGATCTTAATTGGGAATGAGTTGACTCTGTAGAGCAACTTAAATAGATTGACATCTTGATGATATTGTGATTTCCTATTCTCTGTAATTGGAGGCATATCTCTTTATTTAGTTGGTTTTGAATTCATCTTTATAGTTCCAGGGTATAGGTGCTGTACATACTTCTTTAAATTTATTCTTAAGTATTTCATGTTTTTTGGTGGTATTGTAAATGGTATTTATTTTATTTTTCAAATGTTTATTGCTAGCATATAGAAATACAATTGAATACGTTGTATTCTACAACGCTGTTAAAATTTGGTTATTCTATTAGCTTTTTTGTAGATTCCTTGGTATTTTCTATATATACAATCATGTCATCTGCAGATAATGGCAGTTTTTCTTCTTTCTTTCCAATCAGCAGAACTTTTATGTCTTTTTCTTGCCTTATTGCACTGGCTCAGACCTCTAGTATGATGTTGAATAGAAGTAGTGAAAGCAGATATCCTTATCTTGTTTCTAGTTTAGAAAGAAAGCATTATGTATAATGTTAGCTGTAGGTTGAATAAATTTCCTTCTCTTCCGAGACTGCTGGTCATCGTCTTTTTTTTTTTTTTAATCAGTAATGGGGGCTTCACATGACAACTTCAGTCTTTTCTCGATTTATCATGATGTTGCTTATTGCTCCAGTTGTGAGGATTTTTGTTTTTATGTTGAGGTATAATCCATATTGAAGGCTGTGGTCAAGATTGAAGTTGTCAAGGATTTCATTTTAGTTGGATCCACAATCAACGCCAATGGAAACAGTAGTCAAGAAATCAAAAGACGCATT